TTGCAGTGAGCCAAGATCGCAGCATTTTACTCTAGCCTGGGCAACAAGAGTTAGACTCTGTCTCAAAAAGAAAAAAAAAAAAAGTGTAGCAACTTACATTTATCTTCCCCTTATAGTTTAAAAGCAAAGATGTATTGATTATTTAAATGAATCGATTTCTGGCGCATATGTTTATACACCTTTACTTAAACTAAGTACTTGGATGATTTTGCCATTCACCGGGAGAGTGGCTGCAGGTCAGACATTTCCCCTGACTTCACTGTTTTACGTCATTTATAATATCCACAACAAAATTCTTCAGTTTTGTCCAAGTGCATCCTTCATTTAGCAAACTCTGCCTTGAGAGTTTATGGTCACTTCATGATATTTGACTTCACCTGCTTCATTTTCCAATTTGGGATAATTCTGCTAACTTTATTTTTGAAAAGGCAGCACCTTACCTTTACATGGTATCACTCGAGAAACTTTTGTAAGTGGTAGCCATTGCACAGCAAGTTAATGACAGCTAGGTAGAAACATAATTTAGGTATGTCCTACTAAGGCATATGATAAAACGGATTCTCCCAGTAACAGTACTAATAGTTACTTCTTTGAGACTGCTTAGGAGCAAGGATTTGAAAATCATTATCACTATTTGGCAGATCATTTCTCTGTGCAATTGATCTTTTCCCTTATCAAAGTCCAAGATAATATTTTATGCATGATACATGATGACAATGAGAAAGAACTGGGGTTTTGAAGTTAGGACTTAATTCAACTCCTTGCACTGTGACTTTGAGAAATTAATCAGCTTCTTGGGCACTTAGTTTTCTCAGTTTTAGCAACTGAATAATAATAGCAATAATATTGATTGTGATGATACCACACCCTTCCTGGGTGGTTCAATATGATATACACCCTGTGGTACCAGATACACAGCACATACTCAAGCCAATATTATTTCTTGTTCCTTCTTCCCTTTGCAAGTCTCCTTATAATTAGGCAACTTGAGTTTAGAGTGGTCTTTGTGCTTTTTTTTTTTTTTTTTTTTTGATTGGGGACATCTTTGGGACATTGGACTCATTCTTCTTCTTGTTTTTCTTTTTTTTTTTTGATACAAAGTCTCACTCTGTCGCCCACGCAGCCCACTACACCTTTTGAAAAGCCAGTAGCAGGACCAGTCTTGTGCCCTTTCCATTCTGCATCACGCAACAAATGCTGGCTGCAGAGCACACACGAAATAAAAAACCCTGAGCTCCCCCACTTAGTAGCCATGGAACTACAGGGTAAAATAATCAACTGTCCGATCCAAATATGTTAGGTGGTAGGGCTTGCATTTTGCTGGTGGGGGAAACTGAACAATTAAGTAACTTCCCTTCAAATGTATGGTTAAAACAAAATAGAAAGTTCTCTGCTTATTTAGGCTATCTGCTGATTGAATCATACTGTTTTCTTTAAATTCTATGAAAACATTCCCAAAAGACTAAATGTGATACTTATCAATTCTTGTATATGGTGACAGAATGAGTCACTTTTCTTTTGTACTTTAAAAGCCTGAAACCCTTCTTATTCTAGAAAGGCATGTTGAAGAAGTCTGGAAACATATCTGACTTCTCCATAACTTGTACATGGAGAAAGAAAATTGAACGGATGATGATAGCTGCCGATGGAAATCACATGGAAAGCACCAACACAGCAGTTTTCCCCCTCACTATCTTCCACTAGGTCTGTGACAAAAGACGAGACCGCTACTTAGTGAAACAAAACAGGCAGGGGTGATATTCAGTGACGACTCACAAGTACAGCTAGGCTGGGTTTTTGTCTGTTAGTTTTGCGAATGGCATCTATTCTGATTGTGTTGATGCCAAACCAGTTGTCTCATTTTATTTTCAGTATCACCCAGAGTACAGGGGTAATTAACCAGGCAGGTAAAATGGCCCAGAGAGCACCCTGGCAAATGAGAGGTCATGCATCCTGGTGGAAGCGAATGCCTGCAACGTAGCCCCAGCAGGTTGAAGTCATACAAGAAAATCAGTCCTTTGTTGCCAGCTTCTCCAATTTTTAAAGAAGCAGCTAGAAATGCAGGTTTTATACAAAAATCTCCATATTTTAAAATATTTATTCCTAGTTCAATCTTTAAAATGCTGTGTCTGCCAAATGAAACACTTCTCCCGGTCAGATCAGAGAAGAGAGTTGCTGGTTTCCTTCTGAGGGTTGTCCATCTGTGACTACTAGAATAGTTTAAAACTACAGCTAAGTGTATAAAATGGATATACCACCCAGATGGCAACAGTGAGCCATGGCGGCCATGGCTTCAGCAATTAGGTAAAAATCATAAATGTGGAGCAAAAAGTGTTGTTTAAGCGTACTAATATCATCAAAAGAGCAGATAATTCTTTTACAGGTGGTTTTTAAAAATCTAAAGTATAGTTTGGAACATTTTTATCTTTACTACTGTTAATCACACCTTAGTCTAACCTGTATTTTAAGTGCAGATCATGATCACAATATACTTTCCTTCTTCCATATACTCCTCTTTTCCACCTCCAATCTTTTCTTAGTTTGAGATATGTAAGATCACAAGACTTTTGCAGACACAGAATGAGACAATATGCTTAGAACAATACTTAGCACACAGCAAGAATTTAAAAACTGTAGGCATCTTCTGTTACCATGAATATTATTCCACTGTCAAAGCCCTCGCCAGGCTGGTCTACAGTTTGTGGAAAGCTAGGGTTAACTGTTAAAACTTGGCTGTTAACAAAACTTCTGCTTACAGAATCACTTCTGTTCCCGCCCTCTTTAGGAATCTGTGTCTTAAATTATCCCCCATCAATTTCAGTTCCTCTGAGGCAGCTGAGAATCTTTTTCACATCAGAACAAAGAAAAAGAAAGAGAGGTCTCTGTAGGGCATTTTGTAACAAGGGAGATAAGGGCCTCCTCCCCTCCTTCTCTTCTAGGAGACACAGGTACTTTTCCACTTTTTTGTTTCTTTGTGAAATTGACTCATTTTCTCTCCCAAACTACTTAAACTCTGCTGGATGGGTGGGGCCTGAATTCATACACCATACTACTTACCTAATAATTTTCTGCTACTTGCAATCACATAACATATAATCCAATACACCGACTCAGTTATTTTTAAAAGTGCATTATCATTCATTGAAAAGAAGAATATTTTCATATATCTGATAAGGGATTAATATACAAAATATTTAAGGAATTCAACAGCAAGAAAACAAACCGCCTGATTTTAAAATGAGCAAATAATCTGTAAAGATATTTCTCAAAAGAAGACATACAAAAAGGTCAACCAATACATGAAAAAATGCTCCAACATCACTAATCATCAGGGAAATGCAAACTAAAACCACAAGGAGGTATCACTTCACAACTGTTGGAATGGCTACTGCCAAAAAAGACAAAAGATTGTCAGTATTGGTGAGGATATGGAAAAAGAGAACCCTTGCACACTGCTGGTGGGAATGTGGAAAACAGTGTGGTGTGGAGGCTCCTCAAAAAAATTAACACTAGAACTACCATATGACCCAGAAATCCCACCACTGGGTCTATATTTAAAGGCAATGAAGTCATATGTTGAAGAGATATCTACACTCTCATGTGGATTGCAGCGTTATTCACAAAAGCCAAGATATGGAATCAACATGAGTGTCTATCAACGGACAAATGGATAAAGAAAACGTGGTTTATACACAAAATGGAATACTATAGCCTTTAAAAGGAAAAAAATAATCCTGTCATTAGAGACAATACAGATAAACCTAGAGAACATTATGTCACATGAAATACACCAGGCACAGAAAGATAGACACGGCATGACCTCATTTATGTGAAAAATCTAAAAAAAGTCAAACTCGTAGGAACAGGGAGTAGAATGGTGGTTACCAGGGGCTAGGGGCAGAGAGGGGCAAAAGGTGGGGAAGGATTGGGGAGATGTTGATGAAAGGAGACAAAATTTCAGTTAGATGTGAGAAATAAATTCAAGATAATCTTCTATACAACATGGTGACTATAGTTAATAACCAAATATTGTATACTTTAAAATTTCTAAAAAGGCAGAGTTTACATGTTCTCACCACATATAAATGATAAATATGTGAGGCAATGTATATATTAATTAGCTCAATTTGTTACTCCACAATATATACATATTTCAAAACATGTCATATATCTCATATATACACAATTTCTACTCAAACTAACAAATTTTGAGAATGGAAATATCTGATCCACAGATTCATTAAATTAGCAAGTCATGAGTTAACATTAAATGAGGAAGTAATGTTATTGAAATTTTGCTGTCATTCTCTCCTGAAGTAGGGGGTTACTGCGGCCATCAGTAAATAAGTCTCAGTGCCTGATTCAGTATCCAGTTATTTAAAGTTAAGATTCTGAACTTTCTGCCACAGGCACTACGAGCAAATGTCAAACATAGGGAATGTCAACAGATGGCAGCACAAGGGAAATGATCCCTCAGTCATTGTGGGCTTCACAAAGGAGGATCAGGTCAACAACGTCCCAGCACTCTCTGTGGATATGGAAGGGCTCAGCACAACTCCACCTCGTACGGTTCCTTCCTTAAATTCTGTAAACTGCATCACATCACACTTCAGGGATGTGCTAAGAAACATACAGACATGAACACCCCAACAAGAGGAAGCTGAACAAAAATAACTTCCATCGTACCTAGAAAAAAAACCCTTCACTATATTTTATATAACAGTAGAAGTCTATTCCATTTTCTCTTCTGCTTTAAAAATAAAATAATCATTTTCCAATTCAATCAAATGCATTTATGGTATTTTTTAAAATTAGAAATTGAATTCTATTAAAAGCAGAATCCAAGGCTTTGCATGCCCTGTATAGACACAGTGTCTACTGGCAGCTGCAAGTTGCGATGCTGTCTAGTTTAACACTTCAAGAGGAGTATTTACTTCAGTATAGGAGAAAACCACGTATCCGTTCTCTAGAACCAGTTCAGTAGCATCAAAGGGGTATACCTGCAGGTTTTCAATTTCTTCTTTGTGTTCCCTCTTCAAGTGTAAAATAGCAGCTTGGTATTCTGTAAAATCAAAGAAGAAGCCAATTATAAAGAAGTACAAAATTAGGCACAAAATTTATCTCGTGGTCCTCTTAGAAATAAACTGACTAAAATAAATGCCACAATTTGACATCAACCTGACAAGAAATGTTAAAAATTGCTGAAAGATAGGACAAGTAGTTCAGGATAAAAGGTAAATTCCTTCCTTTCAGCAAACCCTGAATTATGAAAAGACACAAATGAAGCAGATGGGATAGGGTTAAAAGAAAAAAAAAAGGGATGATGAGTGTGTTCCAGATAAACACTGGGTCAGGTGTTTGTCTTTAAGGAGTTGGAAATTAAGTCCCCACAGAGGACAAACACAGACGTGTTAAGAGCAGACAGGGCAGGAAACAAAAGAAAATTCTCTATGCGAGATCAGAGCACTCTATTTTTAACTCTGTTTCAAAAAAGAAAAAAAATCTCCATTTGAATGCAAGGCTAAGTAAGCACCCAGGGTTGATTTTAATCTTTATCTTGGAAAGTCAATACTATTTGTCATTTGAATGAGAGATTCTAGGGTGAATTGAGGCTGAAAGGACAAAAATAAATTTCTGGTCCAATTTTAATACGAGTCTAATAATGTTTATTTCAACAATAAGTCCCAAGTGTACACAAGAACTCCAGCCAACCACTAAAACTACCATTCCGCTGGCTAAGCATGAAGCTGTCAAGACAACTTTATTTCCAGCAGAAATGCTAAGTGTGTGGGGTCATGGAACTATACAGGCTGCAGAGAACCACAAGACAAAATGCTATGAGCACACATTTTTGTGAGATAATCCAATTATTTTACAAATGTGTTTGGGGTCATGAGTATGAGTATACAAGAAGTAGTCTGACTTCATTTAAACATGTGTGAAAGCCAGGCTATTTCTCCAAGTAGATTTCCTAAATCAGGCATGGAAGTTTGTATTTTATTTAAAAAATGGATGAAGGAAATCACTGGCAAAGCCATGCTGGAAGAGTAGTGTTGCTGCTGATAATCATGGCTAGATAGACCTCTACTTTGTGGGGAAGGTGCTCCACTGAGCTGTGAATCCATCAGAAAGTTCTGTGGGTTCCAAATCCAAACCATACCTTGAATGGTCTGGCAGTGACCACTTGTCACTAGCCCCACCAGCACCACGATAATCCAAGCTACCACTATCTCTCTGCTAGATTAAAGCAGTATACGTCTGGTAGGATGCCTGCTTCTACTTTTAGCACCACTGTAACTGGTTCTCATCAAAGCAGACTGAGTGATCTACATAGACATGAACCAGATCATCTCATCCTTGGCTTTTCACACAATTAGAGTGAAATCAGAGCTCTCTGTTGCAGCCCATAAAGACCTCCATGTCCTGGTTCCTACGTATCTCTCCCTATCATTTCATACCACTCTTTCCCCTGGTTCATCATACTCCACGTACACTGGCTTTCTTGCCATTCCTTGAACTTGTCAAATTCTTTTCTACCTCAAAATCTTTGCTAATATTGAAAACAATAATAATGGATTTCATTTGTTGACTCCTTACTATATATCAGGCATTATTCTAAGTACTTTATCAACTCATTTCATCCCCACAATAACCCTATGATGTAGGTACCATTATTGTCTCCATTATCGATGGAGATATTAATGAATAGAGACATTAAGTAGCTTGATCATGGAAGTAGAATAATTTTCAGAGCCAGTAAACATGCTTAATTTAATGGGTGGATGCATAAACAAATGATGGTATGTCCCTATAATGGAATACTACTCAGCAATAAAGAGGAATATATGCATCAACATGAAGGAATCTTTTTTTTTTTTTTTTTTTGAGATGGAGTTTCACTCTTGTTGCCCAGGCTGAAGTACAATGGCACGATCTTGGCTCACTGGAACCTCCACCTCCCAAGTTCAAGTGATTCTTCTGCCTCAGCCTCCAGAGTAACTGGGATTACAGCCCACCACCATGCCCGGCTAATTTTTGTATTTTTAGTAGAGACAGGGTTTTACCATGTTGGCCAGGCTGGTTTCAAACTCCTGCCCTCAGGTGATCCACCCACCTTGGCCTCTCAAAGTGCCTGGCCAACATGGAGGAGTCTTAAAGGCACTATGCGGAGTGAAAGAAGTCAGTCTCAGAGGCCAACCACTGTTCAACAGCATTTATATGACATCTGGAAAAGACATATCTAGAGGGATGAAGAACAGATCAGAGTAGTAGTTGCTAGAGGTTAGAGATGGGGGTTCAGGGAGGGGGTTGACCACAAAGTGGCAGCAAGCAAAGGAATTCTGGGGATAATGATATTAGATATTATTTTCTATCCTGATTATGGTGGTTACATGAATCTATACACGTTAAATTCAAGAAACAGTACCCCAAAAAAGTATGTTAATTTGTTTTAAATATGACATTAAATATTATATTGGTAAATATTTTCCCTATAAGGTTCAGCATAACACAAGGATACCTGCTACTATTGTTGATACTCATCACTTTTCTAGGGCTACTAGCAGATGTAATAGGATGAGAAAAAAGACACAAAATCTACATAGATTATAAAGAGAAAAAGAAAGGTATTTTCTCTATATTCATACATCTAGAAAAATCTAAAAGATCCACTGATAAAATAGAATATGTATGTTTAGCAGAGTTGCTTGGTATTATCAACAAAAATATACAAAAATCCTCATAGTAGCAGTTTAAAAAAGAAAAACATAACACGTTACTTCTAAAAATACAAAATACCCAGAAAAACTTAACAGAAATATATAAAGACCTCATATAAGAAAATAGTAACGTTTTATTGAAATATTTTACTTAAAAAAAAGACACAGAAAGACAAAAAGTAGGCAAGCCATGTTTCCGATTTATAAGACTTCATCTTGTAAAGGTGTGAGTTTTCCCAAACTGATTTATAGATTCAATGCATTCCTTCAAAATTTCTTGAGTTTTGTTTTGTTTGAATATAAGGAGCCCATTCTAAAATGCATGTGGAAGCATGAAAGCGCAAAATGCCAATAAAAGCCAAGAAATGCATGAAAATATAGACTAAGTTAAGACAACTTACCATACCTCCTAATGAGAATTATTTTTAATTCTTACAATGTAATTAATGTGGCATGGTACCAACACAGGGATAAACAAATAGATGAATAAGCTACAATAGAGAGTCTAGAAAGACACCATGAATGTATGGTCACTTGCTATACGACAGAAGTAGCACTGAAGATCATTACTTACACAAAGAATGATCTTTTCAATAACTATTGGCTGGGAAAAAATTAATATTCTGTCCATTTATTATGGAAAAAGACAAAACTGGATCCTAACCTTACACTATCATCTATTCCAAGTCAATTAAGTGCTAAACTTAAAAAGTAAAATTGTAAATATTTTATAAGATAATATAGCATAATACTTTATAGCCTCGGGATAGAAAAAGGATTTCTTAATATTCACAAAGTGATATATATAAAGGGAAAAAACCTGATAAATCTGACTACATTAAAATTAAGGACTTATTTTTCTTAAAATACACCATAGAGAACTAGACTGACAACAGATCAATCCATCATCAATAAAGATAACATTCCCTACGGAGTGGGAGAATATACTCGCAACATAAATCAACCAAGATCTACTATAAATACATAAATACCTCCTACAAAATGACAGAAAATGAAGCCCATGTGAAAAATGGGCAAAAAACATCAACAGGCACTCTAAAAAGAAGATATACAAATAATAACTCTGTTAAAAGGTGCTTTTTCCTAGTAATCAGGAATAAAGTCGGACAACACAGCATTGGTGAAGATGCAGAACAATGGAAACTTTCATACACTTCACTTACAACAGGAGTGCAAATTGGTATAATCACTATGAACAATGGTATTTTCTAATAAAGTTGAAGATATTCATGCTTTCTTAACCAACAATCCTAACCTTAGGCATATATAAATAACGAAACAGGGAACGCTCACGGACTGTGTGGTAATGAGAGATCCAAACACCAAGCATTCCGGGGCTTTGGCTTTGTCTCATATGTCACTGTGGAGGAGGTGGATGCAGCCATGCATGCAAGGCCACACAAGGTGGATGGAAGAGTTGTGGAACCAAAGAGAGCTGTCTAAGAAGATTCTCAAAGACCAGGTGCCCACTTAACTGTGAAAAAGATATTTGTTGATGGCATTAAAGAAGACACAGAAGAACATCACCTAAGAGATTATTTTCAACAGTAGGGAAAAATGGAAGTGACTGAAATTATGACTGACCGGGGCAGTGGCAGGAAAAGGGGCTTTGCCTTTGTAACCTTTGACAACCATGACTCTGGGGATAAGACTGTCATTCAGAAATACTATACTGTACATGACCACAACTGTGAAGGTAGGAAAGCCTTGTCAAAGCAAGAGATGGCTAGTGCTTCATCCAGCCAAAGAGGACAAAGTAGTTCTGGAAACTTTCATGGTGGCCACGGAGGTGGTTTTGGTGGGAATGACACCTTTGGTCATGGAGAAAACTTCGGTGGTCATGGTGGCTTCAGGGGCAGCTGTGGTGGTGGAGGATATGGTAGCAGTGGGGATGGCTATAATGGATTTGGTCATGATGGAAGCAATACTGGAGGTGGTGGAAGCTACAATGATTTTGGCAATTAAAACTATCAGTCTTCACATTTTTGATCCATGAAGGGAAAAAACTCTAGAGGCAAAAGCTCTGGCTCCTATGATAGTGGAAGCCACAAAACCAAGGAGGCTATAGGGGTAGCACTAGCTATAGCACTGGCAGAAGATTTTAATTACTGCCTGGAAACAAAGCTTAGCAGGAGAGTAGAGCCGGAGAAGTGACAGGGAAGCTATAGGTTGCAACAAGTTTGTGAACTCAGCAAAGCACAGTGGTGGCAGGGCCTAGCTGCGACAAAGAAGACATGTTTTAGACAATACTCCTGTGTATGAGCAAAAGAGTTAAGGACCATATTTGTGATTAGTTGTATAACAGGTTGTTTTAATTTCTGTT